AGATGTTTTTATTATTGATAATAATAATAATATCTCTACATACGCTAACCAGCCACAATATCAGAATCACCTGTAAAATGGACCCGTCCATTCCACCAGCTCTGTGTTTGACTTTCACAAAGCTTCTGCATTTTCAGTTTTTGTGGTCAAACGGTTGATAAATGTTCTAGTGTTTACTACTGAGGTCAAAGTGGGTCAATAATATTCACAAACTAAAGATGTTAAATTACTCCGTCATTCAATAACGTTCTGTAAACTTCTTACACCTGCAACACCGACACAGTTTGGCGATTGAATAAATATTTTTGATCATTTTGTCTTCGAGTGCATGTGAAATTTAATTACTTCTTCGTTTTCTCGAGAATATTCGGGGACGTTCTAGCTTTCCTTTATAAGCATTAACTATATCATGAGCTGGAAAATGAATTAGCAACTAATTTAATAACTGATTTATCACATTTGCTCGTTCCAGCTTTTCACACATGATGCTTTTCTTTGTCAAACTGGATGTTAAAGTGAATATTCTGGGGATTATGACACTCGGCTATGAAGCTAAAGTGGACCGTTTAGCAACTTTGACACATGAAATGATTGTTGAAATAATTAGCAGGCTAAAGCGAAAACTGACTGATTGACTATTTTGATTATACGCTCTTGTTTTATTGTCATTTATGTCGGGTTTTTAACAAAAAAAAAGCCCAGAATTTCACTGTTTCACGTCTTTTTTTGACTACTTCAGTTCAGCTCTTTTGTGACAGTCTATTGACCAAACAATCAATTAATCAGGAAAATAATCATCAGATGAATCAATCAGGCAAAAAAACCCTCCAAAACAACAACCCCAAAACAGAAAACCCCCCAAACTCACCGTTTCCAGGTGCAACAATCTTTTCTGACAATCAAAATTAAGCTATTTTTGACATTTTATGAACCAAACAGTCAATGAATCAGGAAAATAATCATCAGAATAATCAATCCCTAATATTTACAAACCATTCAGAATGATTTCTTTTTCCATTTAGTTTTTGTGATTTCATTTACCTGAACACTCAACATTAAATCACAATCTCTCCCTTTTCTGTACCCGCTGAGGTCAATAAGCTGCTAACAGGAAGAAACTGGTCCAGCTGTGACGAGGTTTTTCCACTTTTGCATACCTGCGTTGCGTATTTGGTTTGTGAGCTTTAGCTTCTGCTGCTCCTCTACATCCCACACGTCTGCTTGTCATATTTACAGTGTTTCTGTACCGTCAGACAGAACTGCGTCACATACGTCAGCAAACAGCTCGAGATTAGTATAAATGTAGCGCTGAGCTGGACCTAAAGTGTGTGTGTGTGTGTGTGTGTGTGTGTGTGTGTGTGTGTGCGCGGCTACATTACCCTTGGCTAACTGGTTCACTATACAGACCATAATACATGAGCATAACAATATTGGCGTATATACAATTTACAACGTGTGTATTTACTCGTTAAGGCATATTGTATCCTTACATGACATAAATAACATCAGTTTATAATACAAATAAGTAGGCGCTGTGTCGTTAAAGGTTCATTCCACTCAAAACCAGCTTCTTGTCGACAGAAAAACACACACAAGTCACCTTAATGCTTTTAAAGTCAATTTGCTGATTTCCCATTAAGGCTCAGCTGATTATAATCAGTGGTGGAATGTAACTAAGTACATTTACTCGAGTACTGTACTTAAGATGTTCAACTCACTTATCTAACAGCTGCACGTACTTTTTAAATGTAGCTTATGCAGAACAAAACATGTGAACGCTTTAGAAAATATTTTGTAAATCGGAGCTGCAGCGATTAATCGATTAGTTGTTAACTGTTAAATTAATCACCAGCTATTTTGATAATTAATTAATCGGTTTATTGCTGATTCCAGCTTCTTAAATTTGATTCTTTCCTCCTCTAAGACAGAAAACTGAATATTTCTTTGTTGTGGACAAAACAAGACATTTGAGCGCGTAAACCATTTTTATAGATCAAACAACTAATCGATTAATTAAAAAGCATAATCCACAGATTAATCGGCTTAAAATAATAATAAACCTCAGCCTTTAATTAAACCACCCAAAGTTAAAACACGTACAGTTCAAATAAACAGCGATAGAAGTTATTTTTCACTGAAAAATGCCCCAAAATTTCCTGACTCCAGCTTCTCAAATGTGAATATTCACTGTTTTTTCCTCAATAATTAGATCTTTTTGTTAATATTTTGTTGTGAAGGTATCATTCTGGGCTCTGGTAACAATTTTTTAACTATTTCTTGAATTCTTACAAACCCCCCCAAAAAATAAACAATAAAAAAACAACCCGTTAATTACAATGAAAAGTTGCCCTCTGATGCAAACTAAGAAAAAAATCAGCTGCTTACACATCAACAGAATTCTAATGATTGAATATGTAACAGCATATCAGCCACAGGGGTCGGTTTGTGTAACATTTAGGAGAAATCATCAATGCTGGACTTGTAAGAAGTATTTCTACAGTATGGAGTTTGAACTTCCTCCACCACTGATTATAATAACAGCTTGTTCTACAAATGTTCATTCATTCGTTTCTTTTTATAACAGCAGCAGCAGCAGCAGCAGCAGCGACTAGCATGTAGCACAGGAGAGTTTTATATTCCACCTTTAAATGTCACATAAATATGATCATTCAAATGTAATTTCAAGTTTGGGAGCAGCAGCTGCTCTCTGATGCTGCAGAGGGTGATGTTAGCAGAAAATGCTGATTAGTAAACACGAGGCAACAGTTCTGGGCGATGCAGCATGAGACACTGGATATGTGACACGATACTTAATATCTCCTTGTTTCGTGTGTTTAAATCTGTTTTTGGATTTTGCGGCCTTCAGTCGGCAGCAGAGAAGATGTTAACTAGGTGAGAAACTGCGGAGGAGTTGACTTTCACACATTTTCCAGTCCGGGTTGGTTGTTTGCAGAACTGAGCGTCTCCTCCAGCTGTCTGAGGATCACACGCACCAATCCTCAAGACTGTTTCTCAACAACAGACTGGTTCAGGCTGCTTCCTGTGTTCTTTCCTCCCGTGATGAAACAGAAACGATCTCCAACCAATCAGAAAAACTTTAGCGTGTTTGGTGAGAAAGAAAAAAAATGTCACTTCAGCGCCTCTCAGACATTCTCACCTCTGATCGTCACCTCCTTCCTCTCGCTGCATCTTATTGACGACCAGCCAAATGTTAAAGCTGCATTAAGCAATTTTCTTCCACATGTAGGCATGAAGACTTTTAAGATTCTCTCAGTCAACGGCAACAAATCTGTGAAACTTCTTATTTCATGCGGAGACTGTGGCTGCCGTTTCTACGCCGGTCTGACTTTTCACTAATCTTTGTTTTTGTTCAGTTTAATTAAGGTTGCAGACAGATTGATTGCCAATATGAGTATTAATATTTGATGGTTTCCCTGTGGAGTTTTTCACCTCTGCTAACACTGGGGAGCTTTTCTCCAATGTCTGGATGCACACACATTATATATAATAACCTTTATTTCTTTACAAGGACGCTCCATCGGGCACCTTTAAAAATTCTGATAAAAGTCCATCAACCAAAACTTATAATTTAATATATATGCTTTAAAGTTTGACTGTAGTTGTTATATTAAGGGTTAAATATTAACTGGAAACACTTCTAATCTTGTTTTAAAAATCTGAAAGGGAAAAACATATAGTGATATAAATGTAAAATAATAATGAATTAAATGATAAAGGATGAATCTCAGCTCATTGTTTAGCCGTCCAGCTTTACCGTTTTCGTTGGCTCTCTGCACTGTTAGCGTGGCATCAAACAGCAGACAGACACAGTTAGAGACAAGCTGGTGAACAAAGTGGAGCATTTAGCAGCTAAAGAGCCACAGATTTCCCTCAGGAGTTGGCGCAGATCAAAAACAGAGGGAATACTGGACGATAAATCCATCGGATGCACACAAACCCTGACTCAAAATGAATCCTAATGCTGCTCCGTGAGTGCTGGAGGCAGGTGTTTTAGGAGAAAAAAAAAGCTCTAAAAGGCCTCTGTTCGCTACCTGCTCAACAGCAAACAGTCGAGCTGGTGAACACAGAGCAGCATTCAGCAGCTAAAGAGCCAGAGGCAGAGCTGAGGATAGAGAATAGTGGATTTGCATTTGTTTTGGGGCCACAAAACTCTAAATCTAAAGTCTGAACTTGCAGTTAGTATGTCGAGGATGAACCAGAAGGTGAACTCTCCATGTGCAGCTATGTGCTTTATTCGAGCTGTGAACTTAAACAAAGAGCTGAAAGCAGCCAAATGATCCTCAGAGGTTCTTATTCATCATTTTAATCAGTGAAACATGTTGCTTAATGCAGGTTTAAGCCGTGTAGTTTCCTGCAGCTTTTGTTTCCTGTACTTTTATCGTCCATTTATTGCTGGTGGTGAATGAGCTTCCAAAACGTTGCCAGTGTTTACTTTGTGCTAGCATCACTCTGTCCATCACACTTGATTCAGGCGTCTGGTCGCGACGCTGCTGTCCAGCGGCTCCACTGTCTCTCACATCTCAAGTGCTATTCACAGCAGCAAGCCAAATAGTTAAGGGTTAAAAATATGGCTAATGTGGAACATCTTCACAATAATCTTGCTCTCTGCAGTGCTTTTCATTATAATGTGCTTTTATTGTGAAACCAAGTCTCTGATTAACATACTAGGATTTAATATTGAAACGCTAATCTTTGATATGCAACCGTTCCTCTCCACATGTGCTCTTTTCCAGCCTTACCTCGCTCTTCTACCGCATCGAGCCCTCTTTTGTGAAGTCGTACATCCCTCGTGATCGGTTAGAATAAATATCCTTTAAGCTCGGTTCGTCCCAGAAGGCCGGCGTAAAGCTCCAGCCCAAAGCCTTGTGCTCAAGTTGTGCTTCTCCAGTCAGCACATGATCGGGCACCTGCATCCCCATAATGCAACGGGGCACTCACTCAGGAAGGCAACACGTCTGCAGAGTGGACGGACCGCGCAGTTAGTTGAGTCCACGTCCAGCAGCTGAAGGAGGAGCAGCAGGAGGAGGAGGCTGTCTGCTCGGTCCTGCTTCTGGTTTGGAGTCCCGGCTCGGTTCTGGCTGTACGTTATTCCGCGTCTCTGCAACCAAAAACTCCTCCCCTCCGTCCCCGCCGTCGCCTCCTCCCGCCTCCCCGGTGGCCAGCTGCTTCATCCTCAAGTTGATGGAGCCGTAAGTCCTTTTGGGTCGAACGAACGCCGCCCTGCGCCGGTACATCTCGCCCCGGCAGATGGACACCATGAGCAGCACCGACAGGAACATCCCCCCCAGTGTCAGCAGACCCAGACCCGCGATGATGCACTTGTCCAGGTGGGAGCCCAGCTGGGCGTAGTACATCTCCAGCTTCTCCATCTGCCGCGCCGACACCGAGTCCGGGTCCACTTTGGCCTCCCGGGGGATGGTGTAGGCGATGACCACCAGCACGATGCCGCTCACCAGGAACACCAGAGCCAGGATGAAGCCGTAGTCCGCCGAGTGGTCGTCAGCCGGGCTGAACTCTGTGAAGTCCTGACCGTCCTCCGGACCGCCGGCGGCTCCTGCACCGGCCTCCTCCTCATCATAGGACTGAGGAGACACCTCTGGATGCTGCTGCTGCTGCTGCTGGACGGGAGGGAAGGAAAGAAAGAAAGATAGGAAAGGATTAAAGGAAATGAGGAAAGGACAGATGGAAGGAGCGAGAGAATGGTAAAGTGAAGATGGAAAGAAATGAATTAGTAAAAAAACAGGAAGGAAAGAAACAAGGAAAGATGAAAGTTGACATGAAAGAAGAAAGAGAAGGTCGGGTGGAAGGTAAAACAAAGAGGAAATAAAGTAAGGAAGGTAAGATGAAAGGATGAAAGAATTAAAAAGCAGAAGAAAGATGAAAGAGGAGAAGAAACGATTAAGATTAAATGAAGATATAGAAGAAGGAAAGAAGGTAAGACAGAAGAAAAAAGGAAACAAAGGGAAGATTGAAGGGAGAACAAAGGAGATACGATGAGGAAAAAAGAAAACATGAAAGGAAAGAAAGGAATGAAAAATGAAAGAAGAGAGGAAAGAAAGTAGAAAAGAAAAAGGAGGAAGAAAAGAAAAAAGGCACAATAGAAAAAAGTAATGAAAATATTAAAGGAGAGAGAAAAGAAAGCAAGAAGGGAGTAAACAATGAAGGTAGAAAAGGAGATAAAAAAGGAAGGAAGGGGCAATTGAAAGGAAATGAAAAGGGAGAAGGAAAGAAAGAAAAGAAAAAAATAAAGAAATGATAAAACAAGACAAAATGGAAAGATAAAAATAAAGAAGGGAGAGCAAAATGAAATGAATGGGGAAAAGAAGGACAAAGGAAGACAATAAAAAGTTGAAAAGATAGTAAAAAGGTGAGAAGAAAAAGATTGAAATAGAGAAGAAAAGAAAAATGAGGCAGGAAAGGACAAAAGTAAAGATGGAAAGTAGAAAGAATAAAAGGAGAAAGAATAGAAGGGATAAAGAAAGGAAAATGGAGGGAAGAATGGAAATGAGGAGAGCAGAACAGAACACACAAACAAATATGAAGTTGGTAATAAATAATAAATAATGTAAGTCAGTAAATAATCTGCTGCCACAAACAACAACATGCGCTCCAGTTACTGCAGCCGTTCTTTGTCAACAGTGTTTGTTTTCTTCAAAAGAAAACACAATTTAAACGTATAAAGTTCTACATTACTCATGTAAAAGCTAAATAACATCTAGAGCAGCATTCAGGTGTCTGATATATTTCCGTTGATGTTCCTGACACGTGGTCCCGTCGCCGTGGGCTTTCTGTATTTCACCGCTGTGAGCTCTGAGGGCTTTGGCAGCTCCTCAGCAGCCTGTTAGCCGACAGTCTGTTTATCCTGTCTGTGCTGTGTTTGAACTGGGATTCACCAGCCTCTCAGATTCTGGATTCTGGACCGTTTTCAGTGCCGAGTCACGGAGCATTCAGGTCGTCTTAGTGCCATAAAAGTGTCTCGGCAAACAAAAAATATGAGCGCAGCCCCTGCTGGAGTTGGTTTGGGACAGTTTATTAGGTGTGAAAGTAAATCAAAAGTCAGAGTAGCGCTTTGACAACAAGGTGGAGACCAAAAACAGAGCTAAAAGAGAGAGTATTAAACATGAATCCATCAGCTGCATCAACTCAAGCAAGGAATGCTCATGTGGCCACAGTGCATTAGTGAACCAGCCTATAAGCTCCTGCACAGTGTCAGGAATCTGCAGCTATTCAACTCACAAAGACACACAACGAAATCACAAGCAGCACAGTCTGACCACAAAAGGCACAAAATGACCACAAGGATGAAAAACGACCATAAAAAGTTGCAAATTGACCACAAAAAGGAAAGAATCAACTACAAAGACACACAAAAGTATGAACAAAAAGACACAGAATGACCATAAAACAGGTGCAAAATGACCACAGAGTGACAACAAAAAGGCAAAAACCAAACACAAAGGCACACAAAATGGCTACAATCACCCCTTTTCCACTAAAAAGAACCAGGTGTGCCAGTTCCATGCCGGTGCAAGGGCCAGTGCTTAGTTGGTTCGATTCTGTCACCTCCAAAGAACCGGTTGCTTTTCCATCAACCAACCAGAGACACAAAATAACAACAAACAACAAAAAAACAACCAAAAAATCACATAAAATGACCATGAAAAGATACAAAGCAACCACACAAATGACACAGAATGACCACAACCACAAAAAGATGCAAAATGACCACAAAGAGATACGGGACAACGACAAAAAAATGCGAAATGATCACAAAAAAATGCAAATCAACCACAAAGAGATGCACAACAACCCACAAAAGACACAAAATGACTACAAAATGGCAGAAATTGACTACAAAGACACACAATTAACACAAAGAGAACAACCAACCACAAAAAATTCCCACAGAGATGCAGAAAGACCACAGAAAGATGCAAAACAACCAGAAAAGTTGCAAATGGTCACAAAAAGTTACAAATTCACCACAGAAACCCACAAAAAGTAAAAAAAAATCCCCCACAAGAGGCACAAATCAGCCTTGGAGACTGAAAATGAGCACAAATGACCACAAAAAGGCAACATGACCACAGATCCATCCATCCATTAATCCTCACTAGGGTCATGGGGGGCTGGAGTCTATCCCAGCCGACTTATGGTGAAGGCAGGTTCACCTGGACAGGTCACCAGTCTATCACAGGGCTACACTTAGAGACAGACAACCAAGCACACTCACATTCACACCTACGGACGATTTAGAATCACCAATTAACCTGTTTTTGGACTGTGTGGGAGGAAGTTGGAGAACCCGGAGAGAACCCACGCTGCACGAGAACATGCAAACTCCACGCAGAAAGATCCCGGTGTCGCGAACCGGCAACCCTGTTGTTGTGAAGCAACAGTGCTAACCACAGAGCCACCTTGCAGCCCTGGCCACAAATCAACCATAAAATATGCAAAATGACCTCAGAAAAGTATAAATCAACCACAACAAGACTGCAAATCCCAACTAAAATTTGCAAAACGACCATAAAGACACAGATAAGTCACACTGCATTGTGGGCCTCAGGGTGGAAGACGGTGCTGAGGTCAGGAAGAAGCTCCTGCAAACATCAGTGATAAAAGAGAAGCAGTAATCAAACCACACTCACCTCCAGTTAACATTTAACAGCACAGTCTGTCACTGAACATCACAGCTATCAACAACGTCGTTTGGACTAATTACACTGTGACGAATCTGAATTTTTATACCAGACATAAACAACACCTTTCTGACAATGACAGCAGAGCAGGTATCTCAAACATCATTAGAACTAGTCGGACGGTTGTGACGCGTGCGATGCTTGATGCTTCCAGCAAAGCTTCTGAACAGTGACGGCTGCTGCTGTGGTGGATAAGAGTGAAAACGCTGCTACAGAGAAGGAGCTCATCAGTGAAGAGCTTGTGGAGAACGAGGACTTCATACAGTCGAGGCTTGTGGTTGACATGTAACTAAAACTTTGCCTCAAGCTGCTCAGACATGAAGATAAAACTGCTGTCATGTGTGGCTGCAGCGCGGTGCTGCTTGAAACTGCCGCAGCCTTCTGATGTAACTACAGACATCTGCACCGTCATTTCACTGAAAGCTCGAGTTCAAGATATAAGCAGTGAAGGCGGCTGTGGCTCAGGTGGTAGAGCGGGTTGTCCTCTAGTCGCAAGGTTGGTGGTTCGATCCACAGTCCAAGTGTCCTTGGGCAAGACACTGAACCTGAACACATGAATGGTGGAACTGCATCATTTGTCCTGGAAGAGTGACAGTGTGGACATCTGATCTGTTCTTTTGAACTACATGTCTACCTTGCTGTTGCCTGACGCTGGGGGCGGATAACTGGCCGAGGTGGCCGCCTCCTGCTGCTGCTGCTGGTTCTGCTCGTCGTCCTGCTGGTAGGAGGCGTTCTCGAAGCCCCGGGCGCCGCTGCTCACCGTGGCCGCGGTCCAGGGGGTCGCCGTCGGAGACAGGCCTCGTCGGCCTCCTCCGCCCCGCAGCTCCCGGAGCTCTACAGCGTTGAAAGAGGACTCCATCAAAATGCGCTCATGTCTTCACCGGCCCTCAGCTCTGCATCATCCTCCCTGGAGGAAGGAATTAAAAATGGTGATGGAAGACACAAGGAACAGTAGCCTGGTTATTTTAACATAACATCTTTACATTCATGTTGTTAATCGTGGCCGCTGGTTTATTGGAAGATTGGAGGAGACGCACTAAGCTGGAGTCTTTGAGCATCAAACACCTCATTTCCTGCATTCTGGTGATTTTTTATGCATCAATTTGCGCCTTGTCTGCATTTGTTTATTTAAATGTCCTTATTAAAAGAAGGAAATGCAGAAGATTTAGGCACACAGTGACAAATTTTAAATGTAATGGAATATATATGGCTCTAATTAGGTGTTCCACAATTCATCTCCACGTTTTAAAAGTAAAGAAAGACCCAGTGCTTCAGAAAAGCAGCAGTGGAATGAAATAAAAAAACTATTTTTTGCACTCGTACTAAAAAAATGTACCTGTACACTGCACTGTTTTACTCCTCTGCATTTATTCAACTGCCAGAGTAACACGCCTCTATAAAGATAATACTAAATGTAATAATAATAATGTTATATATTCACAAAATATGTATTGTACTCAACATTCTGTGTACTTTTCATTTGAATAATAGGGGGACACATTAAGTCGTAGAATTTCAACATCCAACATTTAATTACCTACATGCTGGTGAATGTTTATGCACCAACTTGTGTCTTTTCTGCATCTTTTTATGGTGGAAATGTCGTTATTTATGTAAAAGCAAACACAAAACTCAGGCACCAGGTGACAGATAAAAATACAATGGAATATAATGATCTAATTGGGCTTTCCATAAAAGATTTAGAGCTTGTTTAAGTTCATAATTCATATTTATAATCTGGATTTTTGTCCTGAAAAATGTACCTGTACACTGCTCTGTGGTGATCCTCTGCACTCATCTAACAGCTACAGGCACACTTCTCAAATCAAGATTTTATATTAGTCTTATTTATAAAAGACTGACATCAGTTTAGACACTTTTTATTGAACTATTGGTAGGGACAGATTAAGCAGGGGTCCTTGAGTGTCAAACATTTCATTTCTTGCATTCTGGCCATTTTTTATGCACAACTTTTGCCTTTTCTGCATCAATTTATGGTGAAAATGTTGTCCTCTGCATTTATTTAACAGCTATGGTAAATCAAGATTTTATTCACAAAATATGTGTTTTATTTATTAAATAACTCAACAGTATTTAGACTCATTATAATAATGTATTTTTGAGAACTTAATATACTGCCTTCCTTAATGAATCACTAATAATTCCAGGAATATATGATAAATAAATAGACGTCTCAGCATAATGTGCAATACAAATACAGGTGTTTGATTACAGTCACTTTCACTGAAGTCTTTTTGCTTTTCGCCGTGTAAATAAAACCTCAGCAGCGTCTCACTCTGTCACAAATGGCAGAGTTTTGTTGCACCAGAGAGGGTTTATCCTGCAGAACTATTATCTCGACTGAGCCAGCGGCCATGAATCCATCACACACAAACACACTGAATCACAGGAATCTCACCTTGGTGGTTATTTATTTCCATTTCTTTCCTCCTCTCATCACCGTAAGAGCTGCTGTCACATCCTGTGGAGTCCAATGGAGAATTCAAATCAGATGCTGAATCCAAAACAGATGCCACAGAGAGAGAAAGATGTTTGTACTTCTTTCATCTTTGTGAGAACCGACACTGACTCTGCACCCAAAAAACAATTAAACACAAAATACCTCTCAGATATGGCTTGTAAAGTGTAGACTGATCATAAAGTCTTTACTTTGATGGCTTTGAATTGTAATTTATCCTCACAGAGGCGTCCTGGTAGCTCACCTGGCAGTAGGCTGAGCAATTAATCAAAAATATTACTGAAATCTCCAAATCTGTACCTGCAGGACCCCAACCGTGGGAGATTGAATTTTATGATTAAGATAAGATGTGTCACAACATTGTAAATAAAGCGTTGCAGTGCTTCAGAGGTGCTCCAGTCAACAAATCATATTCTCCAGATGTAAGAGAACAGGCTTGTTTGGTTTGGACTGCAGCAAAAACCACATCTTTATTTTAATATCTTTCCAGTTGGAAAAGAAATGCAGAAATACACCATGAAAAGCCAAAAAAATGCTGCTCTCACGCAGTCAAAAGTAAAAAAAATGCTGCATTATACACAGTCAAAGGTTACCAAGTCTCCTTTTTAAAGAATCAAAAGCTGAAGAACCTTGCTTTTTATATTGTTAGTTGATGAAAAAAAACGGTGCTTTTCAGTGTCAAATGTTAAATAAACTGTGCTTTTTTATGCTGTCAAAAGCCAAAGAAATGACACTTTTTATGCTGTCAGGAGGCAAAAAAACTCCGTCTTTGAACACCAGCAAAAGCCAAAAAATTACACATTTCATGCCATCAAAGGCCACCTTGTCTAATCAGAAAAGGACTTTTGTTGCATATTAAATGCCAAGGCCCTTTCCAATGAATAGAGCTGCACGATCAGGAAAGAACTGAAAAAATGATTTGATGAATTATTTGAACATCTCTGTTTATGGTGGTTTTGTGGTGCTGATTTAAATGGTCAAACAAATTACACTGAACAAAGATATAAACACAGCATCTAATATTTTATTAAATTCTATTTACTGTTTATAAATTTAGGGGATAACTATCTGTTGGTTTAACGCATGGCGTCTCTACAACAGAACAGATTGGGAGTGGCGTCAGAAACAAGTCACACATCTGCGGCCCACAGAGTTGGGGAGGCTGCCGCTGCTGCTGGTGGCATCTCGTCTCACTGAAGGGACGAGATGCCACCCCTCTGTGAGGCTGACAGATGTTTTGGCGAACAGAATCACGTTGTTGGTCCACAGCTGCCTGAAACTATTTCTTAGATGACAAATGCTGGAGTTGTTCGAGCGCCTGACCGAGAGTCCTAACTGCCCTGCCAAGATCCAGCAGCCAATAACCAGCTCTCGTTTTTCTCTTGTCATCTGTGTCATTTACATAAAGCTACATTTTATAGCCACTGTTCTCTAAAGCCACACCTAAGCAGGCTGTGCAGCTCTGTCAGCAGCTGAGCAGCTCAAAAACATGAAAACACTCCTTTCAATTTTTTCTTTAGGTCAGGAAAGAAAAATCTGCATGCTGCATTTATATCTGTGCTCAGTGTTGTCGCAGTTCTTGGTCCACATCATCCTTTGTGTAGCTGACATATTTCCAGACAGCTGACGTTGCATTTCTTTTTGTAACCAGTATATGTTTCAGTGTTTCTCGCTCAGTCTGCTGTGCACATGTGACAGCTGCATGCCAACAAAGTGTGTCTAGTAAATACAATGAATTAAAACAGAACTCTAAAAACCTTTACATCAGACTAAATTACACAGCAGACTGGCTCGTCTCCTGGAATAAAAATGAGAACTGCGCAAATGTTCTTTTTGTATTGAGAAGCAAACAATGTGTGTTAGATGTGTTTGAGCTAGTGGCTGATCTCACTGTGCACCTCCTGCGATGTAACTATTGCACACATCGCAATGTCGATGCTGAAGCGGTATATCGTGCAAAAAGGACGTTCACACACTAACACGTTTGTAGCTACATCAACATGCAGCTCCTGCTCCACCGTAGCATGAAACTGATTCAAATTCACAGAAAAGAAAATAATATTACTGCAACCTCATCAACACTGTTCTCACACGAACAGACACACAACTTGTCAAAAAAGGAACTTTGCACTATATAAAACCAAATGGTTCATCGATGGAACTTGTTCTGTATTAAAAACGCACATAAGAAGACTTCACATCTGTGCACCACTTAATCCTCTGTGGGGTTACAGCTGACTTAGGGTGAAGGCAGGATGCATCCTGGACAGGTGATCAGTCCATCAGAGAGACAGACAACCAAGCACACTCACATTCACACCTACAGACAGTTTAGAATCACCAATTAACCTCAACATGTTTTTGGATGG